TGATGTCCATACCCTGGTTCCCATGACAGGAGCCTGGCAAGGTCTGACTAGCACTGTGGTCATACTTTGTTCCTCTTTTACTTAATGTGTTGACCAAGTAACACATTGGTCAACAATGTGTTGACCAAGTAACAATTAATCTTTGATTAATTCTCCAACAAGTTCTGTAGGAGAAAGTCCCTTTGTCCTGCCATCCATCACCAGCTGGACACAGCCTGCTTCACATTTCAGCCTTTTTTGGCATCTCTTTTTCCACTGAAAAGTGGATCCAGATTTACTGGGTTTTGCCTCCAATTTTTCCTTTTGTGCAAACCAAGGTTTTCTGATGCTGAAGTGGCACAAGTCCCCTCTGAAGTCGTCCCCCTCTACATACACTGGGGACGAGATCCCACCAGTTGAAGCGCCCACCACACTGAACCACTCAGACTCCAAGTTCACCAGGACTACAAAGGGTGGACTTGGGCAAAATTCAGTCTCAGATGTGTTGGAAAAGTGCTGTTCTCCCTCTTTGCTTTTTGGAAGTGCTCCTGTGACCAATTGACACCGGCATGCAGAGGCAATCAGCAACCCGCCTGCCCTTAGTCTGTGAACATGGACTGCTCGGGGCATTCATCCCAGTGATTGTTAGCAGGAAGATGGAGCAGTGCTGAGAAACCAAGAGTATCCCTCAGCCCTATGGGAGCTGCCCAAGCTGTTGAGCTTGCAAACTGGCTACCAGGGGGCTGAATTCACTGAGGAGAGACATTGTGTAGTAGTGTCCTTACCAGCCAAGAGACAACACTGCCCTGGGGACAGGGGTTCTGGCACATTGAGAGGTCTGACCAAGGACCAAGATTTTTTTTCTGCTTTGAAACCACTCCAGAAAGAATTTACATGCCTTTTTTTTTTTTTTCCCCTTATTTCCCTCCAAGCATCTTAGTCTGCTGCAATGTCTGAATACGGTCCAATTGGTTCACAAATGTCTTTGTACTGCCTGGCTGCTCATTCCCTGTCATTCCCAGTGGGGAAACTGGCCACTCAGAAGCTATTCAACACAGAATGGGAAGGAGGAATGAAATCTAGTAGGAAGGCCTGAGGAAGCTGCCACTAATGCCTCAGATGTAGAGAGAGGGTCAACACACCTTCTGGCTCCCAAATGTGTTTGAAATCTAAGGGTGGTTTTCTAGTGGGTTTCTTGCCACCAGAAGGTAAGGGAATCCTTCACCCTTTCTTCTCTGCTCCTTTAAAACTGGATTGCTTGGCAGCTCCTAATCCTGTAGATAGCTATTTGTTCACTGAGTTTTCTCACACCAGCCGGGAAGCAAAGTCCTTCTGTGAGCTTTAATGTATCTGTGTGTTTTAATAATGTATTATTGTTGATTTTATACAAATATCACTATTTAGGAACTTCAAAGTCTTTGGTTTTCCCCCATCCGCCAGACTTTACTTCTTGCTGCTGCTGTTGTTGACACTTCCATGTGTTTCAGCCTTGGAGAAATAAATATTTGTTTAGCTCTTCTCCTGCTGTGCCAGCTCAGTGCATTTGTTTAATGATGAGTTCAGTTCAGCTTTGCTTTAGGGAAATATATCATCCCAGAAAAGCAAGAGACTCATTTGCAGACAAGTTGACCTGTGTTCTTGCCCCCCCTCTTGCCACCCCATCCCTCTTTTCCCCAGATTTGAGTTTGATTAAATAAATGTGCATGCAAAACTCCAAGTCAGTTGTGGGGAGGAGTCAAAGTTTTGCCTGTTTATTTCTCCACTCCATTTATCCTGACCTGAAATAGTGAGTAGAAGGTTGGACTCCAGCAAGTAGCTGCTGTCATTACCTAAATTTTCTTTAATCTGTAATTTTCTTCTTATCATCTAAAATATCAAATCACATTTTGTCTTATAATATTTGCTTTAGAACCAAGCCCAAGCCTCTCTTTCAAAACACGTATGTGTTATGTTCTCTCTACCCCAACCTTCTTGAGTCAAATGAGAGATTATACTTTTCACTCAAGACATCAAATTGGTCTATGCCATCAGATTTTTTTAAAAATGAAAACAATTTTAACCTCCAAAATCTACATTTGTGCACCTAAATGAAGGTTCAGCTTCTTTTTATTCCTGGAAATGCAGCACTACTTGGCAAAGAAATGAACATGGGATTTTATTAATGCCATTGCCATTTCAAGTAATTTTGCACAGCTGAAACTGGAAGTTTTCTATTAAACAAACAAAACACCAACCAAAAGAAAAAAAAGGGGGAGAGAGAGAAATATCCACAAAACAAAACAAAAACCCCCAAACCCCACAAAATAGCATTATAAAAATACAAACTCTGGAAAGATCCAAATTTTCTTTTTTTGGCCTTTTACAAAACCTTCTTCAAATTATTTATGCTTCACTTTTGAAATACGGCAAGTATAATTTTGCCAATAACTACATTCAATTTCTGCCAGAAAGCAAAAATCACTTCAGTGAAGTAACACATCAGACTCTCTCTTCATCTGTTTCCAGCTGATGAGGTTTCAGCCTATAGCAGAGATTGTTTGTTATTATATTTCAGTGCATGACCTGGCACTTGTGTGGCTGAGTTTCATCTGACTACAATCACTCTGGCCCTCAAAGTCATCCCACTGTTTTTTTATTTGTATGATATTCAGAACCTCCTCCATAATGATGATTCATTCCAAAGTGTGTCATCACCAAATTTTGTTGGCATGGTTGTCCTTAACCATGCCAAGAACTGTGATGAAAATATTATGTAAGATTTATCCTAAGAATCATCTATGAGGAATTCTACTCATAACCTTCTAGCCTGATTAAAATTATAGAAAATAGGAAAAGGACCTTATGTGCAAACTGTACCCCAAAGACATGAACTGTACTTAGCAAATACTTGTACAATTTTTTTTAATCACAGTTGATGAGATTCCATAATCTTCATAGATACTCCGTATCAGTAAGTCTCCTACTCACTGAAGTACTTCTATCCCTAATGTCTTCACTGAGTCACTTCTCCCACATTTTCTTTGTTTTCCCTGTGCCAAACACAGAGAATTAGCTCGTTCCCTTGTGAGTGATGCTTCTGCACACAAACCCCAATATCGTGTCCTGACACATTAGTTGTCTCCTTACTTTGAGCTGACTCCGTCCAGCTGATGCTGTCATGCATTAAAAGTTCCACCTCAGGCATTTGTTTGAACACAAAGCACTATCCTCTAAAGGCAGTGTTCACTTGACTTAGGAAGCAATCCCCAGAGCATGATCATCTTCCTTTATGTTTCTGAAATTTAACTGAAGACAAAGCTTTCCTCAGTTTCAGGGTCTCAGCAGACTTTTGAAGGCTTCTTTTGCAGGAAGCCAGAGAACATTCCCTCTCGTAGACCTCTTCGAGTATTTTATTGCATGTATCAGATTAACAGTTAAGTTCCCCAGCATTCCTTATGAGTGCCTTACCTCCCTGTCCCATAGGTATTCAGAATATCCTGAAGGCTTCTGTCATGTAATTTGGTGGAAATTATATTATATGTACGTAGCAGAATGAATTCTGTGTACCAATTACCACAAAGCTAAATATTATGTTACCTCAAAGACAAGTTGCATTTGGAAACAACTATATGTAATGCTAATAAGAAACCCAATTCCATCTTATTCTAATTAACCTGGAAAACCTTCCTTTTTCCAAATGAGAGAGACTTCAAGACATTCAGAATGTTAATAAACCCACAGGTATTTCCACTCTTTATATATCCTGGCGTACACTATTCATCAAGAATTGTTGCTCATTTCAGTCTGAGTCTGATTTTTCTCAGCCTAGAGAAGTTTAACATTTTGAACCACTGCATCTAATTTTTTAAATGAAAAGGAAATCTTCTTTTCCCTGGTTTTGGTAAGAGGTGGAATTCCTAAATATTGACAATGTGTTAGCAAGAAAAGATACCAGCCTTAAGGCTCCTTAGGAGGACACAGTATAGTTCAGAGAATTCATCATGGGCACAATGACTGAACAGTAAGCTATGTTAAGGGTCCTTTGTGTTCACTGGCAACATAAAATTCTTACAGCAGGAGATATTATGACCTTTTATACAACAGATCCAAGTTGGATCTTTTTTTTTGTGTGGTTGTCACTAGTTTGTGCTGAGCCCAGATTGGCTCAGTCTAATGGTTATAAGGTTTGTGAATAGAGTCTGAAAATCAAAATGAAATCAGAATCCATTTTTCTGTCTAGCTGGTAGGAACAAGCTCTGAGACTTCAAACAACCTGAAGATGAGCTGCCCTTTAGTGTCCAGATGTCATGCCTTCAAAGGAGAACTAAAACTCATTTATGGAAATACTTGGAGTCCTCCCCTCCACCCCTCAAATGAATAGTCATAAAGCTGTAGGGTTCTTAAAACCAGATCTTCAGTAATAGCACAAAATACTGCCTTTTATAGTGTGCTGATAATGCTGTAGAATAGTGCAGTATATTTTTCCACCCAGAGAGCAACACCCAGTTAACATTTAAGTTAGTGAAGTGGAAATTTCTGTGACCTAATTTAAGAACCAGTCAAATGTCTTAGGTGAGAAAGTTTCACCAAAACGTAAATGCCACTGTATTTCTGCTTTGATTAAGAGAGTCCAGGTTAAGGGGTGGGGGAAAATGGTTATGATACAGGGGAATGCAGTAGAGAAGAAGGAATCCAATATCCAAGTAAGAGTACAGCTTAACTTCTGACCATGGGGCATCTGGAAGGCTCACTTTCAATTCATGCATATGACAGACTTGCTTTGCGTTATCCAAAAAGGGGAGGAGAAAACCTGATATAACTGGGGAACTGAGATCAATTTTGTGGAAGTCTGTGAGGCATTATTTACAGTCTGTGTGCCAGAACCGTGCTTCCTCTCCAGGCCATAATCAGAAAACAGTTCAGTCTCCTGTAGCGTAAATGAGATTGGGCAACGTGAATGAAGCTGCTTTCTCTTTTAACAGACTCCTTCTGTTGTTCCACTCCTGAACTCTCTTCATGCCCCTGTGTTTTTCCTCCTGCAGTCCAGTACATCGTTCAACAGAGATGCTGTGAAAGCAGGGACAGGCCGGCGTTTCCTTGGCGGGCTGTTAAATGATACATCCTACTGCTACACTCTGGAGGTCTCATTCTACAGCTACATATTGGGTGGACCTGCTTCTGCTGTCCCCTACACAGAAGAAGCCTGTATCCTTTTGAAATCCATCCTCCCCTTGCAGCACATACGAACTGGGCACTTAAGGTAAATACTTCTATCTCACTAAAGAGTTTGCTGAGATGGGAACACACAAGTGGAAATGTGAGTCTGCTCCTGATGCTTTAATTTCCCTCATATTGATTCCCCATACTGTGGAAATTCAAGAAGAGAAAGACATTAGATCAAATAAGCCATTTCCCTCTTGTAGGAGATTGTCTCACGCACTTATTATAGAAACTAGTCCTGGAGAGCCTGTGATCCATTCCCTTCCACAGTCTTCCATTTCTTTCTTCATTTCTCTCCTTATTCTCTCATTATCCCTGTGTTTGTATTATTGTTTTAATAGCAAGTTGAAAGTGCATCCTTGGTACTGAGTTAAAACATCTTCTCTGCCTTTGAACTGCAGCCAAAAGGCTCTAAAGGATCCATTAGGTTCTGCAGCTGCCTCGGGGACAGATCTTTAATGCCAGTTGACAAAGAAATGGAAAGCGAATTCCGAAAACAAAACCGACAAAGTTGTTGGCATTTTTGAGTGCTCAAATAGAAGCAATGTTTCATTCCTCAAAAAACACATATCCATCTGGCTATCTCAATGTATCAGCCATTTGTAGAATTGTTCTGACTGGTCTCATGATCTGCTTTTATGTATTTCTTTTTCTTTTTGTCACTATGCTCAATCAAATAGCCAGTGACCATACTTCAAGCTTGGGTGTTTTATTTCATTTTGTCATTCTATCTTGGCAGCTTTTGAAATTTCCACAGGTTTAGAAACACTGCAGAGGGAGAAAGATTAGTTGTGATTGCCTATTTACCTCTCCACTGCATTTTGGAAGTTGGGGAAGCTTTAGTGTAGCAAGGGGGAAATTTTCATACGAGGCATAATTCTTCACCATCCATGTATATGTGGACACTGTGAGGCAATAAGATTGAGAAACAGGGAGCAGGGAAAGTAATTGTTATTTATTTGGGGTTTCTGGTTTGACTTCTCCACTGAAAGAGAAATTTGGGGGCAGGAGGGGGATAAATATATTAAAGTGAATTATCAGGCTTGAGCATTTGGAATACAAGCTCTTTTTTGCCCTGTAAGGTTAACTGTTTCCAAGGAACAGCTTTGTGCCATAAACGCCTATGTAGTATATCTTGCCACTTAGGAAAAAACTTCCATTGCTGTAAGGTTTAGCTATTTATTTTCTTGAGTTGGTATTTTGGTGTTTCAAGAACCCATGCCTTGGTTTCACCTTTATTTTTTTTCCTCACTTAGTGCTCATTGTACTGACAGCTGCTTATTTATCTTCCTTATTTATCAAGAACAATTTTTACAGAGAGGAAAGAGCCCCTATACAAATGAGATTACGATTCCCTTGTATATGTTTTTCTTCATGATTTGTAGTTTGTGCTGGCTTAGTTTCCTTTTCCATAAAGATTCTTGGTTTGTGCTCCACAAGACAGAAGTTTCACGTGTGGGATCTAACATCTCTATTTGCTTGGCTTGCCTTGCCTTCTTCAGGCAGAGCTGCTCCATTCTCAGCTCAGTCATTCTGCCCATCAGCAGCTGGAGCACAGAAAACAGGCCCCAAATCAGAGATCCTTCTTGGAGGTGATGTATGGAAAGTTCAAGCAGCCGCTTGATTCCTACAGTTATAGTTTCACCTGGCTGGCTGGAACAGAAGTTGGTTTTGACTGGCCTGGAAGACAGCAGGCAGAGGAAGCTCTTTGCCCATGGATTATGCTCCACTGGCATTCTGCCCTGGTAGGTTTTATTATTTCCTTTTCAATGGAGGAATTCTATCAGAGTGCTGCCTATGACAGCTCTTCCTCACATGTGCGGTTTCCTAGTTAGAGAAAGAAATGGAGCTGCTTGAAATAGTCTCTAGACTGTTCTGATCCAACACAGGAGTAGCCACTGCATTTGTGTACATCCTATCCTGGCAGGAGAAGAACTTTCACATCACTGAAGTGCCTATGATCAAAAGTAAAACAATTGCAGAGCATTCCAGTTTAGTCTGAACAGCCCTTCCAAGCTATTTGCAAGTCAGGGATTAATTAATGCTCAAATTTTTTAATGGACCTGAACCAAAGACACAGGCAGTCAGTGCCTATTGGCCTCCAAGGACAGGGCTGCTTCTATTAACTATCCAGCTACATGCAGGCAGCAAGCAAATAAATGAAGAAAATACAATGAGCCCAAGAATGGTGAACTGATAGGGCAAATATTATGGAAATCTACCTTCAAAGATATATTTCTCAGGACTTTTTTCATCCCACTGTGATGCTGTTGGGTTCTGTGGGTTGGTGTGTTTGTTTGTTTGTTTTCTTTTCAACAGAAACAGAATCAGGGAGGCTAGGATTGTTCAAAGCTTCTAATGTTGGATTAAGAAGTGGAGACTGAGATTCAGCCTCAAATTCAGGGGTCCCTTGGCCTTAAAAAGAGACTACAAAGCAGATCACACTCTTCATTCAGAACTAGCCATACTGGCTCCTTTTAGAGAACAAAGCAAATTAGGATCTCCAGGTCCTATAGAAATATTAATTTAGCCTAATGTTGTTCCTGTTGACAGGTGAGAAAACTGAAAAAACCCTGAATAGTCTTGTATTTGCACTGATGGCATGTAATTATACCTGTCAGCTTCTTTTCTTTACAGCATTTGTGGCAAATAAGATCACTACTCCCTTTCATGCCATCATACAAATGGATTAGGTTTGTTGGTGGGTTTTATACATCTCTTTATGTTTTCCAGGTTTTACATGCTAACTCTATGATCCATAAAAACCTCTGTATGAGAATGCAATAGATATATTTCTGCAGTGGGTATGATTATGAATTTTGTTCAGACTTGGGGTGACTGAAACGTACTTTGCAATTTTTGAGAGAAGTGGATACCTCACATGCATGAAAATGGGACACAGACTTTAAGTTTGATAACTGTTTGAATTCTAACACTGTTAGTGTGGACAGTAGCCTTTTTTTAATAAGAAAAGTAGGAAAATTTTAAAAAAGGATGGGATGGTATCATTAGAAGTGAAAATCAGTTTTAAATTACTCCAGTTAGTATGACTGAATGTATTATAAATGAATTGGTTCAGAATTTAGAGGATGACACCTGGCATGTTCTATAAAAATGAATTTGCCACTGAATCTGCACTATTTAAATGAAATCCAGGAGGGAAGGATCTTCCTTCAGTCTGTGCAGGGGGTGTATGTTTGGGGCATATATGGTGGGATAAAAGTGCTGAATTTCTGGCCTCTTCCAACACAGAGAATTAACATGATTGCATGGATGTCTCAGGCCTCAATTAGCATGATCAATAATGTTTACTGCTGGAGTGTCTCTTGTATTTTCATCCGGCAAGCAAAGCACTGCATCAGGTGTAGCTTCCTAAATGCCCTGTTATACATTCCTTAAGAGGTATGTGTGTGTCTGGTGGGTCTGTGTCTAACTGATATGTACCTGGTGTATGAGAAACATTAGGGATGTGTTCTGTAAGCCTGGCTCTGCAGAACACCCTACGATAACATGTACTGCAGATAACAGTGAACGGACTCTGTTTCAAAGGCATAATAAGAGGATTGTAGTTGTCGGTTACTTGCCTGGAAGTGGACACAGAAATGTTTAAAACCCTTCTCACACATGCACACATTTGGTGGTAACTGATTAAAAAGGCAGCACAGCAACAGTTAGCTGAGCACCAGGTGAAGAAGCTTTAAAATGAGCTGATATGCTTCCATTAAATTCCATGTTTTACTAGGCATTTACAGGGCTTATGACACAAGGCTTGTAAACTGCTCTGTAATGCTCACCACCAGCAGCTCAGATGCTGAGCTGTCTCGGTGCCCACCAGGCTCATAGCTGGGCAAGGAACAAAGGATAAAAGTGGGAGATGAAGGATGAATCCCCAGCTGTAGGACTGAGCACTGCCCTGACAGTGCACCCGGAATTGCTTCCCACTACAGCTGTGAGCAGCAGCCGTCACAGCCTGACCCGAGAGCAGCCAGTAAAGGACTCTCACATCGACAGCTTTAAAATCTTCTATTGGATTCCTTTATTAGAGTGTTTGAACTGGATCCTCGCTGCAAAGCAGGCAGCCCATAACAGATAATAAAAGGTTTTACTCTTGCAAAGTCTAGCCACGAGATAGGAACATGGAAACGATGGAGACCTGGCAAGAACTGGTATGCTTGTAGCCTGATAGTTATAGGGGAGAAAAATCATCAAGGTGGGTGAGTGCCAGTGTTGTCAGCATGTCCATGGCATTTTAGTGTATTTTAATCTTAATTTCAAGTTTCCTTCAGATGAGGAAGGCCCCCATCCAAAGGTGGGCCTTCAGTCATCTATATGTAGGGCTTTACTCATTGAAATCACTTCTGAGTGGAATAGGAGACTGGAACCCTGGGTCAAGGGTGTAGTGGAACAGGTTTTCTTTGTACATCTTTTCTAAGCATATCACTTCACCTCTTTGATTTAATGGCCTCAATATAGAAAATTAATTTAATGAAACTTCTTTTGTAAAAAAAAAAACCACACAAAAAAAACAAGAAAAAAACCACCCCATTTTTGAAACCATGGGTGAAGAACACAGAAGAGACCTTACTAATATTATCCCAAGGTAGATCTTTTCACATTACAAACAGCTGAGAGACTGAGAGATTATGTCAATACTTAAAACAGTATAGTGAATCAACTTGCAAGGAAATCACTTGGCATTTTCCATTTCTCTGAATGTACTGAATTGGAAGCTTGCATCCCTTAAACAGGGTGTAGTTGCACTGCTGAACCCTCTCCCCTATTGTGGTCATAAAGATGTATTTATGTGGCTACAGCCACAGAATGAAAGCTTGGATTGACTGGAGTCTCTTCAGATGCCCAACAGGATCTCTCATCTTGGACTCTTGACACAGTTGGGATCACTGGGTTCATTCTTATTCTTAACTTCAAGCAGAGTATCTGCCTGCTGCTTGACTGGGGACTTGAGTAGTTAAATTCCCTAGAGG